GAACCCTGAGAATTGCATAGTGGCCCAATCCTGTTCCTGTACAAGTCCCTGTATGTTTTGCCACTGATTTCAATGGCAGCGGGATTCAATTCATACTTGCTGATGGAAGACCAATAGTAACATTACAGGCAGCAATTTTAATCATCAAAGATCTTTAAGAATATAATTAAGAGTCTTGCAGCCCTTCTGTGAAGTAGGTTTGATCCCTTCAGAAAGGGATCTTGGAGTCATTATTGACTCCAAGATGAACATGGGCCGACAATGCGAGGTCATGGTTGGCAGGGCTAACCGGACCTTGTCGTGCATCCACAGGTGCATCTCGAGTAGAGCCAAGGAGGTGATCCTCCCCCTCTACGCGACGCTGGTCAGGCCACAGCTGGAGTATTGTGTCCAGTTCTGTGCGCCCCATTTCAAGAGGGATGTGGACAATATGGAGAGGGTCCAGAGGAGGGCCACCCGCATGATCCGGGGACAACAGGGCAGACCCTACAGTGAGAGACTGCGGGACCTGAACCTATTCAGCCTCCACAAGAGAAGGCTGAGGGGGGACCTGGTGACCGTCTATAGACTCACTAGGGGGGACCAGAAGGGTTTGGGGGAGACGCTGTTTCCCCTAGCGCCCGCTGGCATAACAAGGAGTAATGGGCACAAGTTGATGGAGAGGAGGTATAGATTGGACATCCACAAGAACTACTTCACAGTTAGGGCGGCTAGGAGCTGGAACCAACTTCCAAGGGAAGTGGTGCTGGCCCCTACCCTGGGGGTCTTTAAGAAGAGGCTGGATGCCTACCTGGCTGGACTCGTTTGAGTCCCATTTCTCTTTTTGGGGTTTTTTGTTGTTCTCCCGCCCTGGCGGGGGGTCAGGCTAGAAGATCTACTAGGTCCCTTCCGACCCTTAATCTATGAATCTATGAATCTATGAATCTATGAAAAACTAGATATTCTTGAGTTTTGTGGCCCATTTCTGTTGTTCTGGCATGACCATGATGCTGAAAAACCTCTAGTGTGAAGGATTCCCCAGTTAATGAAGAGCTAATTTAACTGGCTCTGAGGCAAGCACTCCTGTAGCTGTGTCAAGGAGAAGGAGGGGATATGGCTTCAATACTATTGAGTCATACCTAATCTTAACTGGCATAAAGGTTTTTGGGAGTTGCAGCCAAGGAGAGGAGTGGGACCTAAGCCATAGCCTTTTAAAATAACTGAACTCCTGGCTGAAAAGGAATAGCCACTTCCGCTTATGATTTGAATTTGTGAACCCTCTTCTGCAATTGAGTGTCTATGCCATTTTTTTCAAAACAGGCATCTGATCCATAACACTCAACAGTACAATGGTTAAGCCAGTAACCTGGAAGATATGAAGACTGGTTTTCAAATCTCACTGACCCCAATTTGGAACAAGGGTAGTTATACATCCCAAAACTATACACTTATGTAATGAGGCCTTCACCTCATTGCTGAGGGAGAGAGGGAGCCAGAGAACAGCTGGATGACTGGCTAGCTCCAGCCTTCTAGAGGGACTAAAAGGGGCAGAGGGCCCTTTAATGAAATGGCCGCCTGCCCCAGATGTGGCCAGTACAGTGCAGCTAGTGACTGACAGGCCTGGGGTGGAAGTATTGGGTCAGTTGATTCAAAAAGGGGGTTAGAGGTCTGAGGCCTCAGGGGATGGAGGGTCTGACTTATTAAGGGGGAAGGACTCCAGCCTGTGGGGAAGCCCCTGCATCACTGGGAAGCAGAGCTAAGTACTTTGGTCACATGTATTGTTTGCTATCGTGATGTGATATTGACCCAGAGTTGAGGGAAACCTTTTATTTGGGAGCAGATACTCATATTTTTGTTGTGTTGAAGTTTGAACTGGAGGGCTGTGTTGTGGATCTATATCCACAGAAGAATGCCTAGTACATTGGGTCCTAAATCCTTCAAAAGGTGTGTGGGCACCATAAATGGGCTAAAGCTGAGAGGGTCAAAGTCCAGCTGTGAACCCTGAGAGGGTGGAATCTGAAGGCAGTGTCTGGGGGAGCACTGCTAGCAACTGAAGACTGCATTGTGCATCAAAGAGACAAGGGATGAGGGATCAAGAGCCTGTGAGAGCAAGGCTGGTGCTGACTGGGGAGTTAGGGTCTTGAGACAGTGGACCTTGAGTTGAGAGGCCCAGCTAGAGCAAGATGAGCTAAGACCAGGAGACTGAAGCCCAGACAAGGATCTAACACCTGAAGTGAATCCCTCTGACCTCTAGGGGCAGCCTCCAAGTACAGCTATAACATCCAGACATGGCAGGAAAGATGGCAGGATGGACCCCTGAAAGCTCAGAGTGGGTAAGGGAAGGAGAAGATCCAGGCAGCCACCAGGGGGTTAGGAAGATGTGGCCCCTCCCACTTGGGGCTTGGACTTGCAACACCTTACCTCAAAGCTAATTGTTATTCTGGAATGAGGTTCTCTGACTCACATGTTAGAGCTTTTGCACTTTGTATATATACCTACATATTCATTGGAGCAGGGACTTGAACCTGATTCACCCACATGCCAAGTAAATGCCTTAACTATATCTGCCTGTAGAGTATCTCTCTCCCCCTCCCCTCCCCTTCCCCACCCCCCTGGCTAATGATTGGTCAATTATATATGTAAAGGTTATAGCTCAAAAAAAGGAGTCTGAGAAAGGATCTAGGATTTAGCCAGTGTTGTGAATGCCCATTGACAAAAGCTCAGGTAACTAGGAGGCGATAAGAAATTTCAGTGCCTTATGTATTAGTGATGCATGGGACAGTTAAAGAGGGGTTTTGAGATATCACAGGGTACGTCTACATGGATAGTTATGCATGCCTAAACTCAATGCATCTTTTTCTAAGGCACATTCAGGCAGTCTAGGCACGTGTCTACACATAAACTTGCTAAAGCACATTAAGGCGCATTAAATTTTGGCCCGTATGGCTAAGTCGCATTAGCTCACATATAGCTATGCTAATGTCCATTAATGCAGAGTGTGTCCACTGATGCACACTGCTAATGTGATCTACATGTGGTTTAATGTGACTTAGCTAATCGCACCTAAATTTGGTATTTGCTTTAAGCAAGTATTTAGATGGGATTAGCCTAAAATTGCATTTTTTAAGGTACATTAAAGACCTGCACATGTGGACACATGCCCTTAAAGCTCCTTAAAATGGTGATTTTATGCTAATCCTGCTTAAAAGGGCCATGTGTAGACAAGCCCACAGTGTGGTAAATGTGGAATTAATATGGCTAAAGTGGCAGTTGCATTCCTAAATCTCTTTGAACATAAGCATACAGGTTTGGGCAGTGCCCAAAAGTATTGTCAAGAAGTATACTTTACCTACCTGCTCCTGCTTTGCACCTGACAAACCTGGAACTGAGGCAGTGAAGGCATCCAGATGGCACCCCATGTCAGAGCCCTCTGATTTTCTGTGCAATAACAATAGTGATGGGGCAGTGGCGGGGAGAGAGGCTCAAAGTAGTTTTGATGCCTCAGTCCTGGATTGGCAGAGCAAGAGTGGGTAGGTGAACTGTACCTCTCAACAGTGCTGCTGGGAACACTGTGGAGGCAATGTAGATATGCCCTTTGCTGATATGGACCCTAGGGCTTGAGTTTCAGAATCTCTCAAAACTCGAATCTCTGCTTAAATTAATGGCATTTACAGGTGCTCAGCGGTTCTGAAAATTGCATTCTAAGGGTCTAAAATGAAGTATTCAAAAGACCTAATATTATTACACAGTTTTAAAAAAGTGATTTTTGTGACTTCTCAAACTCAGAAAAATATTTAGTCAGGAATATTATTGGCTTTTCTTGGTTCAGTCCTGTTTTTTAAGATAAATGGAGTGCATCCCTCTTAATAGAATCAGAATACTTATGTAATTTCTATACTTTTGTGTTGTTTGGATGCAGTCACACCTCAAAATGTTTTATTGTTTACTCTGTAATGCTTTAGGGTGCCAAGAATTCATCATACTGTGGGGAATATCACACCAAATGTGTAAGAGTTTACTGTTTCAACTAGACACTAGTTTGGGTGCTTGCACAGTAGAAATCTTCTTATCCAAGTCCTTGTTTACCAAGTAAACATCCAAACTTAGGTTATAATCCTTTTGTATATAGCGTCCATAAGATCTCTATTTATCTGTACTCCTGTTTATCTGAAAAAATGCAATTCCCCTGTACCAAACAGATAGACATTAAAACTAGGGTTACCATATGTCTGAATTTTCCCAAACATGTCCTCTTTTTTGATCCTCCAATCTCCATTCAGGTGTTTTTAAACAATCTGATCAGATGTCCGGGATTTTGCTCAGCTCAGCTGTGTGTGTGTGTGTGTGGGGGGGTGCTGCCTGAAGATGCTGTGAGAAGCTGCCCAGGTACCCAGGCTGCAGCTCAGAACTGCATAGTTGGTGGGGGTGGGCAGAAGAGATGTCCACAGGGTCCTGGTACCTACCAAGTTCAGTTTAGCTTCTCTGCCACACCAGACAAGGCACCCAGGGTCCTAGCACCTGCCTTTTTCTCTTCCCTTTGCAGCAGCATCTGGTTACCCTGTGTGGGACTGCAACTTGTGGAGGGGACTGGGTTGTAGACTGCAGCCCACTTTGGGAAAAAGGTTGCAGGGGCTGGGGCAGCCAGGAGATGGAGGGAGTTGTGGCTTTGAAGTGAGGGGCAGGGGGACTGTAGGTCTGGAATGTGAGTCACGGAGATGTAGGTCACGAGTGAGGGGCAGCAGCAGGGCTGGAGGGGCTTTGGCTTGGGAGTGATGGGCAACAGAATGTGCAGGGCCAGGGCACCAACATATCACTGCCCCTCACAGGCATATACCACTCCCCACCCCCCCCAGAACACATGCACACAGCAAGTGTCCTCTTTCTTAGAACTGAAAGTATGGTAACCCTATTAAAACAGAGCATTTCTAAAAGCAATTGTGAGACTATAAAGAACAATTTGCAATACCTTTTATAAAGGAAAATGGCTGTCTAAATTTCAAATATTACCAAAGAATACAGACCTGTTGCAGATGAAACAAAACATTTCCTTTGTAGATACTTCTGTTATTTCTAATTTATCCAGAAACCAGCCACTTCCTGTAGAATGAAAACATGAGCAAACTTTTAATACACCTTAATTGCACATAAACTATAGAAAAAGCTTTTAATTTCATTTTCTAATCATTATGAGGCTCATATCCATCTTCACTTGCATCCAATATAACTAATAAAACTGAAACATGATACCAAGATATTACCATCTTTTTCTGTTTTAATGAAGTCTTTGATATTTTTTGCCTAGATTTTAACTATATCTAAAATCAGTTTTCTGCACTGAAAATAATAGCTAGTAGACTGAATGCAGCAGAGGGCATAGCAGTGACACAAATTCTTGAAATTTGATTTTGCTGTTTTTCTCCAGTGTGAAATATCTTTGGATGCAGTATAGGTCTAATGCATTTTGATGATCAGTGGGAGGATCTACACATGTCATTTAGTACTTGCTAAAATATTATTTGCTAAAGTACTACCATATCTCACAGTGTACAGGTTGATGCAGTGTATAAGTTGACTCCATTTTTCTGGTTTAAAAAATTAGGAGTTTCGTAGATTTAGTGTATTAAGTTGACCTAACTTTTTGGATTAGAAATATGGGGTCAACTTATACCGGCCCCTGTGTACCCTCACTATGGGATGGGCACCTGGGGTGAACACATGAGCAGTGCCACTCACAGGGGAAGGGGCTAGGCTAGGCACTTGGCTTACATGGCCCCATCCCCTGCAAGTGGAACTGCCTGGGGCCATGCCAGCTGAGGACTGAGCCCAGGGCACACACATGGGATGGGGCTGTGGCAGCCAACTGCTGAGCCTGGTGCTCCTCACAGGGGACAGGGCTAAACTCAGCATTTAGCTGATGTGGCCTAGGAAGCACCACTCTAAGGGGATGGGTCTGGGCTCAGCATCCAGCCAAGCAGTGTCTGCATGGTGATGTCAAGGCCCATAGGCTGTACTTAGACTGCACCCGGGCCCCATGGCCTCCAGCAACAGGGATGCAGTCAGTAGCTGAAGGTTGGGTCAGGCTGGGGCTGGGCCGAGGCGGCATTGGGGTGGGGGTGGGGCCAAAAGTATTAATACGATGTATAAGTCAAGGTAGAAATTTAAAAGTAAATATTTTGGCTCCAAACCTTGACTTATACATCCTGAAATACAGTACATGCTAAAGTGCACAAGGCACCATAGTGATAAGCTACGGTGACATAGCTTGTTGCTATGGCAATGTAGTGGCAGGCATGATCCATGATGCCATTGCTACAGCGCAGTAGGTTCAGGATCGACCCATGGGGTGCCAGCACTACTCAGTACTGGTGGTTACTGCACAGTCATTTTAGTACTTGCTAAAGCAATATATTCCATGATTACCTGTTCCTCTCACAGGCCTCAGGTGAAATGCCATTGACTTCAATGGAACTGAAGCACATGCTTTAAAAATGTGTGAGATCGCTGACCTGAACAGGAATGATTTTCTGACTCTGGACCATAACTGCAGGGAAATAATAGATAATCAAATTCAACCATTAGTTTAGACAAATCTAAACCAATTAATTAAAAGGGTGCCTGTGTGTGTCGGGGAGGGTGGGGAAGGAGGGTAGTGGAAGAGAAGAGGTGCTAAAAAGCCTTGTTTTCCTTTTTGCCCTCTTAAACTCAAAACTCTTAGTAAAACAATGTTCTCACTTGTAAATTCAATCTTTTTAAAAAAAAACAGTTTTGGCATATGATGGTGCATCTACATGAGATGCTACATTGTACAAACTATTGCTAATACACAGTAGGGTGAGAAACAACCCGTGGAGTGCCAGGACTGCACTGTACTGGCAGTTACTGCACAGTCATTTATGACTTAATAAATGACTGCACAGTAACCACCAGTACTGCACAGTCCTGGTACTGGACAGGTCATATCCATCCTACTGCACAGTAGCAACGAGCTACTGTGCAGTAGCTTGTTGCTACTGTGCAGTAATGGTGGTGTCACAATTTGTGCCCACTGTCACTATGCCAGCATAGCGATGAGCTACATTGCCATAACTAGTCGTTATAGTGACACGGTGTCTCATGCCTTTGGCTCATTGTATGCCAAAACTATTAAAAATAAGATGGACTTTACAAGTGAGAATATTGTTTTACTAAGAGTTTTGAGTTTAAGGGGAAAAAAAGGGAAAACAAGACTTTTAGCACCTCTTCTCTCCCACTCTACCTTCCCCCCACACAGGCACTCTTTTAATTAATTTGTTTGGAATTGTCTAAGCTATTTGGTGAATCTGATTATTTATTATTTCCCTGTAGCTATGGTCCTGACTCAGAAAATCATTCCCGTTCAGGTCAGCGATCTCACACTTCCTTTAAGCATGTGCTTCAGTTCCATTGAGGTCAATGGAATTTCAGCTGAGAGGAACAGGTAATTATGGAATGCATTGTTTTCTGAAGTGCAGAATTCTGCACAATAGATTTTGAAAGCATATCCTTCTAACTTTCATTTTGGGAAATAAATCTCTGTCTTTTGGGATTGTTTTGCTAAATACAGAGGTATCTGTCTTCTTGTACTACAGTTAATTTATGCCACAGCATGCGTTGTTTCATTTACCCTTACAATAGAAACACAGTTTTTATTGTAGTCAATAAAAACACTACATTCTTGGCTGACGCTTTTAGGTGTTGCATTTGACTCAGGAAGGATTTGATGTGTGTGTGTGAAAGCTAACTAGGGACAATGCTGATATTGGCTGAAATTATACGTGCATTATTTGTGTGTGTCAGGAATAAACTAAAATGTAACGGTTTCATTATATTTTCAGAAAAACGTACAGTGTATAAAATATGATTAAAAACCCTTACAATATTTTGCACAATCTCACTGGTAAATGTGAAGACTTCAAATATTGTTAAGATTTCTCATTAACTATGGCAAGGAATTCCTAGGGTGCTATATTTCATCTGACCAACTGGTACAGTTAGGCAAGGTTTTGAATGCAAGACATCCTTCATCAGGTCAGAGCAGTGACAGCCAGCACAATACAAACAACCGTTACAAATTTTTAGTTTGTACAGCTTCCAAAAGATATAACGGTCACATGAGGGGAATATCCACCCTTTGAAACATCAGTATTCTCCATCTTCAGCACTCTAACCAGTTCTTCCTGATTATGGTAACTCCCCCATGACACCTCCTAGTGGTTAGATGAATATTATTTTGTCTTTTTTATTAAAGCACCAGAGAAGTGAGTTTTAACTAAGCTATCTAACTAAAATATCTCAATACAATCAGAAGACTTAACCACAAACTGTACGTTGTCCTCAGATTCCAGTTTTGGATTCTATGTTTATATTTTTCTTTTTTAAGCAATACAAACTCAAGACATTGTATTCCCCAATACATTGTTTCCTTTACTTCATTGACTTCTTGTTGAAACACACTGTAACAGGACAGTCTGTCCCTTTAAAGAGGAATAGTCAGCCCTGTTAACAAAGCCCAGCCAGTACCATAGCAAGCGAGTGGCTAGACGCCCCCCGGGCACTGAAGCGAAAGGGCACCAACAGGTGCTGCCCAGCCGGGGTGGGGCATGGGACAGAGCTGCGAGTGGCTCATTTGGTGGGGAGGACGGGGGGGGGG